AAACGAACGGAGGCGGAGACCTAATTCCCGATGGGATTTTTTTGTTGTTGACATCTCATACTCATGGAGTTCGTCGGGGTGTTGCTGCCGGAGAAAATATAAGCATAATAACAATAAATTTAAAAATATAAGTCTTAAATTATTTGTGAATATCTTATATTTGTGAATATATCTGGGTTAACTACACGGCAGGTAGGGTCTTGTTTGACTGGACTTTAGCTCTGTAGCTCCATAGAAATGGATCCTTCAAAAAAAAATTCAAATCAGGCTTCAGTCAAATTGACCTAGAACACAAGAAGAGCACCCCAAAACTGTACTCCTGACTCCTGACTCCTGATGCTCTCCAGTTTCGCTAAAGTGCTCCGGTAGCTGGATAGAAGCCTCACCGAACAAGACCTGACACTACTGGAGACGGCCTCTTTGCCGAGGGCCTGAGACCCTCGGCAAAGGCCTATTAACCCTCGGCAAAGGCTTTGCCGAGGGCGGCCCTCGGCAAAGAGCTCTCGGGGAATTTTGAGTCGGCGAAGAGGGTCTTTGCCGAGGGCCCTTTATCGGGCACTCGATAAAGCCTTTGTCGAGGGCTGGAGCGGCACTCGGCAAAGAAAAGCAGCCGTCACGGCGCCGGCGCCTGGGACGGAGTCTTTGTCGAGGGCCGTCTCCGGGGGCCTTCGACAAAGAATTATTCTTTTTTAAAAAAAAATCTTTGCCGAGGGCAATGGGACGGCCCTCGGCAAAGAATTATTCTTTTTTTTTGAAAAATCTTTGCCGAGGACTTCCACGCAGGCCCTCGGCAAAGAATTTTTTTTAAAAAAATCTTTGCCGAGGGCCTCCAACCATGGCCCTCGGCAAAGAAATGTTGCGGAAATTTTATTTTTTTAAAAAAAATCTTTGCCGAGGGCAATGGGACGGCCCTCGGCAAAGGACCCTTCTTTGCCGAGGGCCTTGGTCGTTGCCCTCGGCAAAGAGGCAGAAATTTAAATTTTTGTTTTGTTTTTTGCATTCCATCGACACAAGCATCACATATATATATATATCACACAGAACATATTTTCTCACAATATATCACAACCATAATTGTGAACCATAAATCATAATATATTACAACGACAAGTCACATGTTCATCATCATCCACATGTTTATTATGACAAGTTCATGAAATCCAAGCACAAGTCAGAACCATAAACCACAAATATTACAATAAAATCCAACCACATCACCTAGCACTAGTCCTCATCAAGGTAGCCTATGAGACGGTGGTGAAGAAAATGCGGGATCACCCGGTGACGCACTACCAAATTGATTGGAACCCGTGGACGGAGGCTGCACAAAGGAGTAGAGATTGCATATGTGAGTAATCCGGGAAAACAGTTTTGAAACTTAGATATTACATCTAGTAATCTAGGAATACAAAAGATTAGACTCAATTGAAAATTTAAGCAAGACACCTCCCTCGCACGGGAGGTTTCCAAAACCTCGCAGAAGAAACAACAAGCATTTAACGCCGACATCCACAACGGCACTAACGCCGACATACATACATGCAAAGCACAAGCGTTAAAAAAGTGAACTTTCATACTTATAGGAGTAGCTGCAGGGGAGTATGAGGTGGAGGAGCTGAAAACTGCATTGTACACCCGATGCTTGTCCAAGACTTTGCATGATCACCATCATCTCCGCCATCTAGCTTCTCATGCCTCAAACGCGACGACCATCTGGGCTCTTGCAACAGGCGGTTAGTTCCGCTGCTCGCTCTTGACTTTGCCTTTTTGTTTCTTGCATCTTGGCCCGCAATATTTCACCCAATGTATCATAATGCAAATCTAATTTAGGTGTGTAAATATCAACGCATTTGACGAGTAAAACAGAATTACCCGAGTGCCCGGACTTGCCTTGGTCTTTGGAGAAGGCCGTGAGCGCGTATGGGTGGGCTGGCTGGAGCTCGTGCTCCGTGCTTTCGGATAGCGTCGAGGAGGGAACAGTGGTGGAGTCGATGGCGCCGTCGCAATCCATGACTTGCGTGCTTCTTGCCTCCTCCGAGCCTCATGATCGCTCTCTGCATCAATGGGCTCGGGCGCACATTGTAATCTTTCCCATAGATCTCCCTTACCGAGGATGTGTACTCTTGGACTTTAGTGTATACGTTTGGGTCGGAGTACACCTGGGGCCGGGCAGCCGGGTTGAAGGAGACAGAGGACGACGCCCCGCCCATGTGGGACATAGCCCACGCAGAGAACTCCGAGACCTCCTCGCCCCAAGCAGACCTCTCCGCGAGAAAGACGGGAAGATGGTGAGAAATCAAGCGAATTGAGCATCAAAATAAATGAAAGAAATCACTTACGATGCTTGTTTGTATCCGGAGAGGTGCGGATGCCTTGATGGTGAGTTGGACCTTGCCTCATCGACGTTGTTCCTGGCCGCCATCTCTCATGCGTGCCAACAAAGTCCTGTGATAACCACTTGTCCACGATCATGGCCCAGCACTCGGGATACGATCGACACCACCAACGAATCACCTATAAGTCATCGAGTATTTGACATATAAGAAGATGAAATTGAACCTACTTAATATCAAAACGAATCATTATGAATGTTATTCGCCTACCTCAAGATATTTGGTCTCGGGTCGGTCAACAGAATCAGCCTTGCTTGAGGCTTGGAGAGGGACTGCTTAAGTACTGACCTGTAGTAGTCTATGTGGGCTTGGACGCGCCATGGTGGTGCATCTCGGTGACGTACTTCCTACAAGCTGCGGCAGCCGCCCGATCCGCCTGGGCCTCAAGTCCTTCTTCGGCCTTAAAAAATTTATGCATACAAAACCGATGTATCCATTCATTATTTCAATAAAACATTTAACCAATGAATAGGATGTATTAAGCAATGTTGTGCGAGAGAAACTTACCCAAAACTCCGCCAATACCCGCCTCCTCGCTTGTTGCGGTAAGTGTCATCCGTGACCGGTAGCAGACTGTCCCAGCTTGAGGCCGGCCCCGCACCAGCTAGGCTCTTGGGATTCCTACTTGCACGCCAATCGGGTACCATTTTTTAATGAAGCTGCACAAAAATACACTAAGGATGCTCAGAGGTAGTGTGTGCTTTGGAGTACTGAGTGAAAAACCAACTAGGCATTGCACAAGTGATTAAGAAAATTTATCAGATTCTCTTATGATTTCCAACATATCTTATGAAATAGTTGTGATAACATCTATAGTTACTTACCTCTTTGCCATAGGCCGAATCACTAAGGCGGTTGTGAGAGGAAGGTAATCGGAGGAGGCTCATGACCTCCTCGCATATCTTATGAAGTAGAGTCATCGGGTAGCGGTACCCTTGCCATAGGTCAATCATCGCCTCGAGCCCTCGCCTCCCTCACCCTCGAGGGAGCGCCTCGCCTCGCCTCGAGCCCCTCGCCTCGCCTCGCCTTGCCCATCTTGCCCATCTGCTGACCCTCTCGTCCTCCGACGAGGATGTGGCCATGGCCGCCACGTGCTCCTCCTCCAAAGACCTCGTCACATGGAGAGGGAGGAGACCCGCCTCCTCACTCGCTGCCGCCCGGGTCCTCTCTCGTCACCTCCTACGGACGCCGCTTGGACGACGACCCTCACCTCAAGGAGAGGGCGATCTCTCCCAGTAAACCGAGGGCGTGTCACGGCGTGGACGTCTGCTTTCGCCATCTTTGTTCAATCACCGCAATCACAAAGAATGAACAAGACTAATTAGTACATATATTAGAAATAGATTCAAAATATATAAACAAAACACAAATTAAAAAAACATAGTATTACATGTATTAGGAATAATCTTCATGATTGAGATCATAGGTCTCATCATCACTGTCAAAATTGTCCAAATAGGCAACACTATCCGAAGGTTCTATGTTGTCATCGTAGTCATTGCCTAGAAGTAATCACTCAAGCATTGCTATGTCATTGACATTTACCACCACATCTCCATCGACCTCGCCATCAACCATTTCGTTGTCTACTTCCATTTCAATTGCTTCGGGTAAGACTATCTCAAACGTGCCTGGTAGCCCATCTTCTTGATAGAACTGTCCATCATATGTGTTTGCGTTAAAGTTGTAATCATCATCGTTTGGGGCAGGTAGTTTACCGTGTGGAGATACCTAGTGCACAATAGCCCAACCCTTAAGATCCTCTTTGTCTTGGTTGGCGTATTGAGAATAATACACCTGCACGCCCTGTTGAGCAGCAAGAAGTCATGCAGGGAGTAGTGGTACCAAACGTGCATTTTGAAGCTTGTCTTTGTAGCTCGGTCGTATGTCCATACCCCCTTCTCCCAAGCGTGGATCAATTCATCAATCACAGGATCCATGAACACACCCATATTATTCTCCGGGTGTACAGGAATTATCAACGACAAGAATACGTTATGTCGTTGAAAGGAGATGCCGGGAGGGAGATTGAGGGGGATAACAAAAATGGGCCAGCATGTGTATGGGGCAGCCATCATTCTATAAGGATTGAACCCATCTGTTGCCAGCGCGACACGTACATTACGGGCCTCAGCTGCTTTGTCACGATGTTTGTCATTGAAGTACGTCCATGCTTCAGCATCAGACGGATGCACCATCTTCCCAGGATTGTACCGTTTGCTATCTTTGTACCATGTCATCTGTTTCGCAGATTCTTCGATCATGAATAGCCGTTGGATCCTCGGCAGGAAAGAAAGGTGCCGTAGCACTCTCGCGGGGATCGGAAGCTGCTTTTTCTGACCATCACCAGAGTCTACCTCCAAACACGTGGAGGATTTACACTTCGGACAATAATTTATGTCCTTGTGTTCTTTCCTAAATATGACGCACCCCTTCGCCGAGGGCCTAGCTTTGCCGAGGGCTCCTGGGGCTGGCCCTCGGCAAAGACCCTCTTTGTCGAGTGCCCGAGATATAGCCCTCGGCAAAGCCAGAAGTCCTCGACAAAGATGACGTCTCCAGCAGTGTGAAAAGGAACATTTTTTTTGCAGCCACCACTTTTACGCCCCAATGGCCCCGTCGCCCGGCCGTGAGACCCAACGCCGTTTGGACGACTGCAACAGCCGCAGTGCCGCACGCCACGAGCGTGCCGTGGCCACATGCGGCCTGGCCCGGTCCCGGCCCGGGCGCGGGCGGCGACACATCGCATCGCCATCGGCATCGCCTCCCAACCGTGGTTGACGAGCAGCTGCAGATCACCCAAGCCAAAGCCAAAGCGAGCGCAGCGGCGCACGCGCACTATTTATCGTGCGCAGCATCGGCGCAGCCCCTTTCTCCGGCCGCCCCCACCGCGCACCGCCCGACCAGCCACGGGAACCAAGCCGCCCCTTCCCGCCCCGCGCCGCCGTTCCCTGCTAACCCCATCTCCGCCTCGCCTCGAGCTAAGGAGGGCGGAGGACCACTGCTGTGCGGCGGTGCCTCCTCAAATCCCCGCCGACACCTTCTGCCGCCCCCAGGTGGATCCCGTCCGCCGACTCCAGGAGGGGCTAGCTAGCTCCCTGATCTGAGCTGAAATTAGGTATGCCCCGTCTCCATGATCCAGGAGCTCTTCCGTTGCACGAATTTTAGTTCAATCTCTAGGTGAGGAAGACGGAGTGCTGTTTGCTTAAGTCTTGAGGTTGTTCGATGCTATGCTTATGTGAACAGATGGTCAAAATTGCTTTTTTCCCCTCTCTTTTTGTTCTTGTGCAGGATCTGAACTTGCCCCGGGCGAGCTGATGTACGGCTCGCCGGTGTCCAAGGACCTCAACCTCCCGGTGCAGCCGCCGCCCATGGCTTCGTCCGGGCTGCTGAGGTACAGATCGGCGCCCAGCACGGTGCTCGGCGACCTCTGCGAGGACTTCCTCCCTTCTGCGCCCCGCGCCGCCAGCCCCGACGCCGGCGCCGGCGCCGACAACGTCTTCTCAAGATTCCTTGCCGACCACCACATCCGGGACGACAAGCCGTCGCCGGCTGCCCCCGCCGCGGTCCACTTCCCGAGTGAAGCCGACATGGCCTCCCAGCAGAAGCAAATGATGTTCCACTCCCAGCAGCAGCAGCAGCAGGAGATGGTGGGCGCCAAGTCCGGCCTCTACCGCACCGTGAGCTCAGGCATAGAAACCGCGGCCACTGTTGGCACCGGCGGCGCCAGCGCCAGCGCCAACGCCAGCAACCTGATTAGGCAGAGCAGCTCCCCCGCCGGATTCCTCGATCATTTGAGCATGGACAACGGTTGGTCTCATCTTAATTCAGCCTTCATTTGGCACGACCGTAGTTACCATTCCCTGCTTGCTTCCTTGCCAGCAATTATTGCGGTTCTTGGGGCGTTTTTCTTCTGGGAAACATTTCTATTTCTGGAACTGACACTGAGCGTGTCCCACCTACGCTACTTTGCTCAATTCAGGATACGGGGCCATGCTGAGGGCTGGCATGGCCACCGCGGACTCCCTCGCAGGTAGCGGTAGCCTGCTAAAGGGGCAACTGAGCTTCTCATCACGGCAGGGGTCATTGATGTCCCAGATCTCAGAGATGGACAGCGAGGAGGTCGGAGGGAGCAGCCCAGAGGCTGCCGGCGGCGGCAGGGGGTACATCCCTGGGTACCCAATGGGTTCTGGGTGGGAGGACTCATCTGCGCTCATGGCAGACAATTTGTCTGGCATGAAACGCCCCCGGGACTCGTCGGAGCCTGGCCAGGTGCGGGGTTTCTATCAGCACTTTCCATTTCTTGTAACATCTGTGGCGAACTGACAATGCCATCAGTGCAGAACGGCCTTACTCACCAGTTCAGGCTGCCCAAGACGTCATCGGAGATGGCAACTATTGAGAAACTCCTCCAGTTCCAGGATGCTGTGCCTTGTAAGATCCGTGCCAAGCGTGGATGCGCCACTCATCCACGCAGCATCGCCGAGAGGGTCAGTGAATCCATTTTCTTGCATAGAATTCCTTTAAGTTTCGAGTCTGCAGCTGAGCAATTGGCTGATGTGCTGATCTGTGGTGCCCAGGTGAGGAGAACAAAGATCAGTGAGCGAATCCGAAAGCTGCAAGAACTTGTTCCAAACATGGACAAGGTACTCCACATTCTGTAGCCACGGCAACCCAATAGGCAATAGGACATGGACATTGTGTGTGTGGTTAGCAAATTTTCTATGTGAAGACCACTCCATAATTGACTTGTCTGCAACCTACACTTCCATTTCCTGCAGCAAACCAACACATCTGACATGCTGGATTTGGCTGTCGACTACATCAAGGATCTCCAGAAGCAGGTTAAGGTAAGCAATCCAATAAGTCCTCTGCAAGTGAGCACTTGTCAGTATCTTAATAAGAAAGACCTGGGCAGTAAGGTCTAAACCAAGCTATATTGATTTGTTGCCCTTTAACTGAAAGGAGAAAGTTACCTGTAACGTTCTGTTAGAGTGTTAGACTTAGCTGAAGACTGAAATACACACTCTGAAACAGAGTCTGAGAGTTCCTTTATGCTATCTGTTCATTGAAGGTGCTAAAGGAGAGCCAAGCTAATTGCACCTGTTCAGCAGGAAAGAATCAGCAACACTCTTGCTGAAGCCCTGCTGCACACTGTACATGATCTGCAGACCTCGAAAGCATGTTCACTTGGGATAGAAAAGATGAGAGCTGTAAGACAGCTCTCATTTTTTGTGGGGTTTGAACTGCAGCAGTTGAGAGGCTTATCTACCAGGCAGTGTAGCTTTATATGAGCGAAGGGGAATGAAGCAATGGCATCATCATCATTCAAGCATTCAAGATTTCAAGTGGTAGGGAGAAGGGTAAAAGTGGGGAGATATATAGGAGAAACAACTGTATAGTTTGGCTGTAGCTTTGCTATATATGTACTACCCTTTCGGTAGAAAGTGGTTAATTTACCTCTTTTACTACTAGCAGCAGCTGTAAATGTGCCGCAGATAAATAGTAGAAAAACTTGGAGGAGTTCAATGCAAGCAATAGTGTTTCAACTCTATGAACATATCATATATAATTGAATTAATGGGCATCCTCTGCTGGGGTCTGGGGGTAGTCCTGCTTCCTCTCGGACCTCAGGCTGGTCCTGAAGCTGTTTGCTGCTCATCCATCTGACATTCTGACTATATCGATGCTTAATATAGCTCTATTGCGACACCAACAGAAAACATCCAGGCTCTGGACATGGATTCCGTAGCCTTGGTCTTCTCAGCTGCAGTCTTCAAGGGCCTGGTGAGGTCATATTTTTGTTTCAGCCCAGGAAGATAATTGAACTGATTCATCTGTTCAAATACAGCAACTTCTACTGTCTAAGGTAGGATGTTTTTCAACCGTATTCGAGACTGAATCCGTTTAGAGGGGTTCAGATCTGTCCATATCCGAGTCTGGATATCCGTATTCGTATCCGAATAATCAAATCGTATATTTATGATGTCGACATCCAATCGTATCCTATCCGGTATGGTTGACAATATCCGTATTCGAATCCGAATTTGAACAGAAATATAAAAACAAATATAATATGAGTGATAGTATCCGATCCGTCTTCATCCGTACTTGACATTACTAGACGTGGGCATGTGGCAGACCCTCACATAGTCCGTTCCCTGACCCTCCCTAAGCAAGATCCAAAAACGATCGCTTAGATTTCAGAAGATCGAAACCAGCTAAACGTTGCTGGCTCGGCCGATTCTCCGACTCACCCGAGGCCCCATCACTCGCGGGCCTCGGCCGATTCTCCGACTCGCCCGAGGCCCCATCATCGCGGGGCCTCGGCCGATTCTCCGACTCGCCCGAGGCCTCATCATCTGGACCTCACCGATTCTCCGATTCGCCCGAGGCCCCCTCACCGGGCCTTGGTCGATTCCCCGCCAAAGGCCTCGGCCGAGGCCACCGACCTCCGCCTCGCAAGAAGGCGGGCTCGGCAAGACTCGCTACCTCTTCCTTCTCCCGCCCCTCCGCAAAACGTCAGGTGTCAGATCAACTCAGCCAACTCGCCGCCTCTCGACAACATACCGCATGCCCGCAAGACAAGACAAAGCAGAATGGCCGATGGGACAGAGGCAGGATCGGGCAGGGGTTACCCGCCATCAGATTAACCACTGTGCACATGGGTTGACGCCCATGCCTCACTATGTCGCCAACTCCTCGCACCGAGGACAATGCAGCATGGGGAGCCACATCTGGCTATCGTGGGCTCTAATCGCACTCAGGAGCATAATTCCCTCCAAGGCCTCGGCAGCTTGCTCTGTGGGCTCGACAAACCGAGGACCCATGTCCGCCAAAGCCCCCTCACGATGGCTTGGCCTCGCACCCACAGAGCCACAAATTTTCACGACGCCATCACGCGATGACCAGACGCCCCCGGACCGGGCAGGGGTTACCCGTCACTATGCTATCCACCGTGCACATGGTTGACACCCATGCCTCATCGTGGCCGCCAACTCCCGCTCCAAGGACAACGCAAGATGGGGAGCCACGTCTGGCCATCGTGGGCCTCGGAATCGCACTCTGTGGCCAATAACTCCCCCAAGGCCTCGACAGCTTTGTTTCACTTGGCTCGGCACCGAGGGTCCATGACCACCGAGCCCCCCACGATGGCTCGGCCTAAGATCCGCAGAGCCGCCGCTTCCCCACGACGCCATTACATCGGCGACCAAGACGACGCCCGCCATGTGTCCCGTGATCAAGCCGCATCGAGCCCCACGACGCACAAGACCGAAAGTATGACCAAAGATGTCACTTCAAGATGACAAGGACGGGCCACTCCATCGACCATACCACAACAAAGGGTCGATTATGTGGCTCTTGACACGCCACCCCATTTACAGAAGCGCTTATGTAGCACTGCAGCACGGTCCCGGGTCCTCCCTTAGAGTATAAAAGGAGGGACTGGGGCTATTTCGGGGGAGGCCAGAAGACTTAACACGCCGACAGAACCATCACGACTCCACGCCGCTTGGGAACAACGCTCAAGCAGCCCGCACCACACTCGCCGAGACTGGGGCTAGTTCCTCTCTCACCTAGCTTGTAACCCCTACTACGAGCACTCCGGTGCAAGGAATACAAGATCGATCTCTCTGACCGGACGAGGGCCTCGATTGCTCGAACCAAGATAAACCTTGTGTCTCTTTGCGCCACCATCCGGATTAGGGGCACGCAAAGACAAATTCACTGCTGGTTGAGGGACCCCTGTTCCAAAACACCGACTGGGGCCATGCGCTGTAGGGGCGCTGCGTGTCGCCTTCTGGCCATCCTAGCAAGTTCCGGATGGCGTATCTACATACATACCACCATTGCGCCTCGGCACCATAGTTTGGTTGGGGAGCCTAGAGTTCATGTCTCTAGGGCATGAGTACGACATGGTGCTCCTCACCTCGAACCCCACCGTCGACGACGACGAAGTCGCGCCGGCAGCCTCAGCGCAGAAGCGCGCTCGGCGGCCGCTTCTCGCCACGCCGCCAGCACGACGCGAGCAAGGCCACCCCGACGCTTACGCGAGCCTGTGGCGACACGCCTCTCCCCGCCGATGTCCCACGACCAATTGTTGGTACGGGTCCCCGGTCGGGACCCGTCCGACCGAGCTCGACGGCGAAAATCGCCGGTGGCTTACGGCGATGCCCATTGCCTAACCCCCGCCCGCCACTCCTCGAAGAGCCGATTTTTCACAAGGTAATATGGAGACGGCCCCGCCCCCATACCCCTTTTGTTGAGAAATGCCGCCGCTTTCACGCCACGCCTTACGCCGCCACTCACGAGCACCCCTCGAACGCCGCCAGCCGCTTCGCTTCTCGACTTGAGCACACCCGCCCACTCCTGACGACGAGGACGAGGCATGGCCTGTGGTGGATTTTCCAACTTCACAACCTCGGGATTTGCGCCAACCTTGGTCAGAAGTTTATCATCGCTTCGGCCATCCGGACCGACGATGAAGGGACTTACGATCCATCTCGTGAGTGCTTCCACGCCGGGCTCTGGATGCCAAGGGCGGGCGAAGGAACGAGAGGAGGACAGTAACCATTCCTCGCCGGGGCGGGCGACGCCACACCACCGCTGCCTCGAGGCCCTAAGAAGACGGAACGAGAATCTCGCCTGCTGGGGGCATCGACGCCAGACCGGAGCAGCTCCACGAGCTTCAAGCCAAGGTCGAATAAGACCGACTCTTCGCAACAGCTTCGGACACTCTCGAGCAGAGAGCAAGCAAGGGCGCGGTGAGGGCGGAGGGGCCCGAGGGAGGGCCCGCGACGCCCACCACCGTGATCAACGACAACGAGGGGATGAGCCGCCCCAATCTTTTAACCGCTTAGCTGTAATGTCGCAGCTGGCCGCGATGCTAGTCCGAGCAATGCCCGAGCCTCCACCACCGAGGGCGACGGGTCCGCTGGAGAGCTCCGCGACCTCCTCGAGACCGCAAAGAAGGCAAAGAAGTCGAAAGTTCCGCCTCCGCCGCGCTGGAGGCACTTCGAGCAACCCACGGCACGACTCGCCAAGGCTGGGGTGCTCGCCCGTCCCGAAAGCCTGGCCACAAGGCCGACGGTCATCAGGGCCTCTCGGCAAGAACCGACTCTGTGGACCAACACGAGGCATGTGGCGACCACGAAGTAGTTGCAGGCGACGGCGCCACGACGACGGAGCCGCCCGAGGCTACCACCCACACCGAGGCGGTCGCACACGACAGCGGTGAGGACCGCAGTCCTTCCCCGAGTCGCCAGACTCGGTCTTCAAGCAGTAGGCCATCCGCGTTGTTCTTTCCCCGCCCGGTTCCGACAAACCGCCAACTCGCTGAAGCACAGCGGCGAGACCAACCCGAACTCGCTCGCTGACATCACCGGGCTCGCCAGTTTAGGTGGCGCGGACGATGACCGCTTCATCATCCGCAATCTCCCTTTGTTTTGTCTGACTTGGCGCGAGCCTCGGCTGGAGCATCTCCTCCTCGCAAATCCACGATCGGGCGCGACTTGGTTAGAATTCGTTGAACTTCCTGTGGCACATACGCGCGCCTCGGGAATTCTCGATCTTAAAAGTCGCCGCCAGAAGCCGACGAGTCTCTCCGAGACTTCATCCCGCGCTTCTCCAAACAAAGGCACCGAGCTACCCAAATACGGGCGACTCGGAGATCGCCCAGCTTTCTCTCCGCACCACTTGTCGGGACTTGGTCCGAGAGTTAGACGCAACGCCCCCCGCGCTCGCCGCCGCAAGGCCTCGACATCGCCACCAGCTTTCATTGGGGAAGAAGTCGCTTGAGCCATCTTCCCAACACCGATTCCAAGGGGAAGCGGAGGAAGAGGCCCCGAGGCCTCAGCCCCCACCTCCCTAAGAAAAAGAAGAAAGGTCGCCAGGAAGGTGAAGTTCTCGAGGCCGCCCATGTCGCCACAACGGATCGCAGAATCCCGCGCCCCCCGCTGCCCCGTGCTATTTGACGACATGTCAAGAAGCCCCGCCTTACCATCAAGGTCCGGTGAAGCACGCCGAGGAGTGCACCATGCTCCGCGCTTATTACGCCAAAGCTCGGCCCCGACGACGACGCCAAGCGTAAGGGCCCTGCCGGTCGGAACGAGGACAAGGACGACGGTTCCCGAGGTACGTTAACGCTTTCATGATCTTTGGCGGACTAAGCATGCCTCACACGCGCGCCAAATGAAAGAGGGAACGCCGGAGGTTTTCTCGGTCAAGGTGGCCACCCCCGTGCACTCGATTGGTCTCGGAGGCAATCACCTTCGATCGGGATGACCACCCCGAT